GACTGTTTGGCAGTAGGGGAATCTTGGGAGGTGAGTCAGGTGACCAGGGCAATGCTGGTCACAGACAAAGTGGGGGTGTGACTCCAGAGGCCTCTGCAAGGCCTAGCTGAATGTGGGTATCTGCAGCAGGGAAGTGTGGAGGATGGAGTGGCATATTCTAAGGGGTGACTGGAAGAAGCTCTGTCTGCTGAGAGAATGGAAAGAGCAAAGGAAACAGAAACAGGAGAGGGAAGGAGTAAGGGAGAGACTTGAAAGAGAGGAGAAAATGGATATATATATAGAGAGAGAGGAAGAACAATAAGAGAGGAAGAGGAGGAGGAGGAGGTAGACCAGGGAAGAGAATGGAGAGGGGGAGAGAAAGCAGGCAAAACTACATCTATTTCTTGCATATTTGTTTGGAAGACCCAGACCCATGGAACTGCCTACCACCACAGCAGCCAAAGCTACACAGACGCATACAAACTTGTTTGGTCAAGTGCATATAAAAAAATACAGGTTGCACCAGACATTGGTGGCTTATGCCTGTAACCCTAGCTACTCAGAAGGCTGAAATCTGATGGATTACAGTTAGAAGCCAGCCCACGCAGAAAAGTTCAGGAGACTACATCTCCAAGATAACTAGCAAAAATATCAGGCTGAAGGCATGGCTCAAGTAGTTGTAGACTGCCAATCAAGCAAACAAGCTGAGCTAGAGTGGTAGATCCTTATTTTAAACCAGGTCTCAGCAAAAGAAAGAGAGGGAGGGAGGGAAAAGGAGGGAGAGGCATTGCCCTACTGTGCCCTTAAAATCTTGCCTCAAATGTCTCCCACAAGTCTCTGAGTTCCAAGTCTGTTGTGCTGTGTGTGTGATCATCAACCCCGCTCCTGAGAGCCTGCAGTTGTGTGGAATGAAGGGCTTGGGGAGCACTGGTTCTTCTTGGATCATCAGTGGGGTTTAAGGGCAGTCCCTTTCTCAGGCTTGATGTTGACTACATGTTGCTGGTACCTGGAAAGGCATACCAGGAAGACGCTGTCCCCAGGTCTGCCAGGGTTCTGCTCCATCTTTTTCAAGATTGAGGTCCACACAGGCCTCTGGTTGTACAGGGGCCCGGTTGCAGGGGGTGCACAGAGGTCAAGTGAGGGGATTATCTTAAGAGAAAACAAACCTCTCCCTCATCAGCTGGAGGAAGTTTTGCCGATCCATTTGACATCTACTTCCTCTTGAGGCACTGCAACTGAAAAATATCCTCTGCTGGGGGTTCACACGGTAGCTATGGGCTTCATTACAGAGAAGCAAAACCTGTGACCCCAGAACTATCTCTCTAGGAGGCAGGGATGAGTCTTGTTAGAGAAACTCTTATGGCATCCTCAGACAGAGAAAAACCCAGTTTCCTGGTTCAGGGACAGACAGAATGCTACAATGCAAATAAAGCCAGAACCATATTCCATGTGCTTCCAGGAACAGTGCCAGCACGTGTGGAGGTGATCGAGCTTTCTTATCTCTGGCAGTGATACTCTGGGTGCCTGTGAGTTGCCTCTGGCCTTGATAACCGACCTCCCTTCTGCTCCTGAGGACAATTTTTCCTGGCAGACTCTGTCTTACAACAGTAGTGATGTTCTTTCCTCTTGACCAAGGTACCAGCCAAATCACCAGGGATGCACAGCCTGTGCAAAGGTTGTATGTCACATGTTCCAGTCAAAGCAGGTAAGAAAATAACAGCCTTTGAACACCTTAGAAAGCCCAGCACAGTCCTAAGAACACTAGGAGATCATATATTGGCAATGGAAAGGCCCATGGTGACTTATGGGATAAAGATGAAAGTTTTCAAGAGTCAATAGGGTTGTTTCCACACAACTGTCCGAATGCAGTTGTCTTTCTCATAATGTAGGCACTATAAATGCAATAAACAGTGCAGTAACGATGTATAGGTAACAATCATATTTTCACAGCATGTGTCTTGTTTTTCTCTTTCAAGCAGTTGTCACTATACACCTGTACCAATTTTCTGTTTTTGTCTATTTTATGTAATTGGTATTACAAATATTTCATGGTCAATAGATATTAAACTATATTTGTGAGATACCTAAACGTCAATGTTTTCTTGTCATGGAAGATCTTGCGTGTCCTTACGTAGAGCTGGGAGTTGTGCGCTAGAAGTGTTGCTTCTGTTCCTGTTAAGTTTCTGAGGCCTGACCCCTCAAGGCTTCCTCTATACATCCTGTTCTACTGTACCACATCTTTTCTTACCTAGTTTGGTGTGGCCTAGCAAGTATGCTTCTAAATTCTACACTACTCAAGACTATTGACCCGAGGAGATATGGGAAAACACAATAATAGTACCTGTCACCAGATAGCTTAACAGTCTTTATGTCTTCTTGCCTGTATCGTTTCTTGAGGAAGAGGACACTATTCCTTGATACTTATCTAAGCACCAACTAGCCTTATACTTAGGATTCATTCTATTCTGTACTTCCTTTTCAGATCCTACTGTTTCCTCACCAACCTCTAACAACTATAATTAGAGTATCCCAATCTCTCTAAGACTATGGTTATGAACTTTAACATGAGTCAGAACTATATGTAAGACTTAAAAGCAATAAATGAAAATGAGTAGAGAGAATGCAGTCAATAATCCAATGTTTATCTTACAAATTTAAGAAGCTTGAGGGAAAGCGAGGGCAGGGGAGGGATGGGTGAGAATGTTGAAAGGAGTAACACTGATCAATACATATTGTGTTCATAAACTGCTTTGTTAAATGGCAACTCCTCTTTACAACTACTTAAAGATAATAATAAAAGGGGTTGGGAAGTTGGCTCAGTGGTCGAGTGCTTGCCTCATATACAAGAGGCCCTGGGTTTGATTCCTCAGCACCATATAAGCAGAAGAAAGCCAGAAGTGGCGCTGTGGCTCAAGTGGTAGGGTGCTAGCCTTGAGCTGAAGAGCTGAGGTACAGCGCCCAGACCCAGAGTTCAGTTCCCACGACCATAAAAATAAGAATAATAATAAAAAGAAAAAAAGCATAATAGATTGTTGAGCAATCCATAGTTTCTTATAAAGAAAGCTGGAGTTAGGGGTGGGGAGGTTCAGTAAATATGCCTTTCTACCAAATCCACAAGTGGTGCTGATGTTGCAGGATGTGATCCATACTTTGATCATCAGTGACAGAGGTTTGGGGAGGTAGTGAATTATGGAAAACAGGCATTTCCTTACCTGGGCAGGAGTGTGTTCACCCATATTATACCTGTAAGTACTCTAGATAGTGAAAAGAGTTTGAAGGATACACTTTGGTGACACTAATATCACAAATATATGTTTAGGGACATGGTTGGGAGGGTGAACTGTCCAGAGTACCCACTCTAAAGGGATCCAATAGCCAAACTGTCAATTATACTGTGGCTGTCGGTCCAAACCTTGTGCCCTAACTCAAGCCCTCAACACCAATAGAACAAGAGGAAAGAAGAAATAATGTCCAGGTTCTACACATCCCTCTCCCCCTAGAGACACAGGAAATAGATGTGAATGAGAGAGACTACGCTTGAGCATTGGAATACTTAGTTACTCTCTTCTGTTTAGCTTAGAGCTAATTTTGAGGAAAAAGAAATTAACAGTCTAGGTGAATGTAATCAAAGTACATTATATACATGTTTGGAAATGTCATAATGAAGTCCATTTGTACAACTAATGTGAGCTCATTTAAAAGAGGTAATTTATTTTTCTTCTTCCAAAGCACCATAATTCTATCTAAATGCTTCAGAACTGAAAGTCAGTTTCAGTAAACAATTTGTTCTCCCAACCTGTGTACCTGTTTATTTTTGTTGAGACTTACACAGAAATTATACTATCCAGGTAAAAATTTTAAGGAATTGAGAAGGGATGGGGAATCAGTGTATATAAGTAAGAAAGAGATTTCAAAATTTAATCTTAAGGGCTGGGAATGTGGCTCAGTGGTAGAGTGCTTGCCTGCTGTGCATGAAGCCCTGAGTTTGATTCCTCAGTACCACATAAACAGAAAAAGCCAGAAGTGGCAGTAGGCTCAAGTGATAGAGTGCTAGGCTTAAACAAAAGAAGCTCAGGGTCAGTGCCCAGGCCTTGAGTTCAAGTCCCAGTACTTGCAAAATAAAAAAAAAAGTTAATGTTAATTCAACAGTGGCTTTCAGTGACTAAAAGCCATACCTAGAGAAGGGATGGGGAACAACTAGTTCACAGGCTATATAAAGACTGAAAAATTATTCAGTATACAATAGAACAGACACAAGTGTCTCATATTCTCATCAGCTACCTGTGGCTGGCTAACTGTATTATTTTTTCGTTGATCATGGAGCTTGAACTCAGGGCGTGGGTGCTCTCCTTGAGCTCTTTTGCTCAAAGCTAGTGCTCTACCACTTTGAACCACAATACCACTTCTGGTTTTTCTAGTGGTTATTGGGAGTCTCATGGGGACTTTCCTGCTCGGGCTGGCTTTCAAGCATGATCCTCAGATCTCAGCCTCCTGAGCATGAGCCACCAGCACCCAGCATATTGCTATTTTTGTATGGTCTTCAAATGACATTACAAATATACAAATGGATTCTCCATCCCTGAGGGCCTAAGATAAGCAGCAAAAGACTTGCATTTGAGTGCTCACTGATTCCCCATCCCTTCTCAATTCCTTAAAATTTTTACCTGGATAGTATAATTTCTGTGTAAGTCTCAACAAAAATAAACAGGTACACAGGTACACAATCAAGAAGGAAATAATTGTCATTAGAGACATTTCCAAGAAACCAGCCAGAGAATAAAGTTTTCACATGCCCAAGACTCAGACATTATCCATGTATCAATCAACGTGTAAGGGTCATAGAATCCTCAAACGCCAGGTAGGGTGGGAATCTTTTTCTTTTTGCCCCTGACATTTTTCTATGAAAATACTGATAAAGTATATATGATTAGATTAAGATAAAGGGGAGAAGAGGGACAAGAAATAAGAAAGTAAAGTAGGGGAAGGGAAAGGAGAAAGCGAAGATAATTTTCTTGACTTACTTCTTCCTTCTCTTCTCCATTACTAATATTTTCATATTGTCTTCATTACTTCTTTTCAGACATGTTTCTTCACTGAAAATTAATATCACAATGACATAGGTCCCATTACTATATTTATTGTACAAGAAAGATAATGCTTCTGAAAACCTAAAAAAGTTTATTTGAACCCAGGCAATCCACTCTGGGCCAGTAATCTCAACTATACCATGGTTACAGGATGTGTGTATGTTTGTGTGTGTGTGTGTGCGTGTGTGTGTGCACGTGCGCGCGCGCAAAGCATGCACATGTGTGCATACATGTGCTGGAATGGGTGAGAGTACAATTAGTAATAACTTACACAAATAAGATCTTAATAGTGAATTATTCATTATTTGTCTTTTGCAACTAACATGCTATAATTATAACACGTAATTATAACATAGAGATCCTATGCATTTATCTGTAATTTAACCAGTTACTTTTTTTTTTTTTTTTTGCTGGTCTAGGCCTTGAACAGTGGGCCTTGGCACAGTCCCTGAGCTTCACTGGCTCAAAGCTAGTGCTCTACCACATGACCTACAGTGTCACACTCAGCTTTTTGTGAGGAGTTTATTGGAGATAAGAGTCTCAGGACTTTCTTGCCTGGTCTGGCTTTGAACCATGAGCTTCAGAAGATCTCAGCCTCCTGAATAGCTAGGATTATAGGCGTGAGCCACCAGTGCCTAGCAACCAGTCCCTTCCTGATAAATGTTTATCAACATTTCACTTTGTAATTACAAATAGTGGTACAATGACTATCACTGAATTTGTATATTTCTGTACATAAAGGTCTGCTTACATAAAATATTCTTTGATTTGTTCATATACTACCACATCAAGATCACATTGTTTTAGTAACTATGCCCACAGAATGTTTTGATTTGTAATGGAAAATTCATGGCTCATTGTTTTTTAAAGACATATTTTAATATCCTACATTTAGTAAGTTGAATTGGATAATCAGCTTGTCAGTTGCTAATGAAGAAATTACATTGCCTGTTGATCATTTACTTATAATGCCATTTAATTAGGTTACATTGAGTATAGTACAAGCTTCACAATTTTCAGCTATTGTGGTGTTTATGAATGGAGACACATCAGGATCAGCCATTTTCATTTCTTTTCAGTTTTCTATTTGCTTTTTTGCCACTTTACATTGTGTTGCTTTCATATTTCATATTACTAATAATAATTGTTTTATTTAAGGATACTAACATTTAGTGCTATAATGTTCTAAATTTGTTTAATATATACAGGTGGTGTCACGGCTTAGATAACAGACTTTATTTTATTTTTTGTATTTATGTAGTACCAAGGAATTGAACCCAGGTCCTCATGCATGCTAGGTATGACTTTAACTAAGTATCATTACTCCACAATACTGTGAAATATGTGAAATTATGTAATCACCTAATTTCAATAAAAAAATAAACAGACTGCCTGAATTCAAGTTCTGCTCCTCCTCTTTGATTCTTATGTGCACTATGAAAGTTACTTAACATCTCTTTGCTTTACTTCTTAGCAAAAGTTTGGGGATAGAAGCTACCTACTGCATATAGTTGGTATGAAAACTAAATACACTACCATATGCAAATTGCTTAGAACAATGCATAGCACATTGCAAGTACTCAATAATATCTGATTCCATGGGAAGGACGATGTGATCTACCAGACTGTCCCTTGTCCTTGTTCTAAAACTGATTTGAATTACATAAAATAGATATAAATACATTATTGTTTTTTAAAAAAGAATTTCTAAGGTCAATCTGACTAAACTATAATAATATATGCATGTAAAATATCATGATGAAACCCCCTGTACAATATACACTAAACTATGAAAAAAATGAATGATAGGAAAGTAAAACAGGCTGTTTTAGGACAGGTACAGGTGGGAGGAGGGTAGGCCAAGAAACAAGATGAATGTGGGTGTTGAAGTACTTTACAAGCTTGCAGGAAAACAAAACAAACCTGATGAAATTGTTTGAAGAGGAAGAATGATGGAAGGGATGTGTTTGATGTGGTATATTATATGCATGTGTAGAAATATCACACTGATGGGCTAGGAAGGTGGCTCAGTGGGAAAGTGCTTGCCTTGCATGCATGAGGCCCTGGGTTCGATTCCTTAGCACCACATAAGCAGAAAAAGCCAGAAATGGCACTATGGCTCAAGTGGTAGAGTGCTAGCCTTGAGCTGAAGAGCTGAGGGACAGCGCCCAGGCCCAGAGTTCAGGCCCCATGACTGGCAAAAAAAAAAGAGAAATGTCACAATGAAACCACTCTCATACAACAAATATAAGCTAATAAGAAGTCTTTACAAAAACCTTCAAAGTATAGGAAATGTTACCAAACTCTCTGACAACCTACTCCATAAATTAACATTCCCTTAAACCCTCACCCAGAGTAAATTACCACTGATGTAAGGTAGGCCTTTTTGGTGTTTTTCAATAAACACACACACACACACACACACACATACTATACACACACACACACACACACATACACACACACACACACACACACATCTTTAGTCATAAAATATAGGATATTCTATTAAGGACTTTATAGCACAAAATATATGTATATTATGCTACACTGTAAAATTTTCCCATTTAAATCTCACCAATGTAATATAGAATTCTTTCCATAAACTCTTATTTCTTGATCCTCTTCTAATATCACATTTTATTTTTTACTTCTTTGTTGGATGATAAGTTTTAATTGGGATAAAAAAGAGAAAGACTCATCATACAGTTAATTCTTTTTTTTTTTTTTTTTTGGGTCTGGTCTTGGGGCCTGAACTCTGGTCCTGAGCGCTGTCCCTCAGCTCTTCAGCTCAAGGCTAGCGCTCTACCACTTGAGCCACAGCGCCACTTCCGGCTTTTTTCTTTTTGCTTATGTGGTGCTGAGGAATCGAACCCAGGGCCTCAGGCATGCAAGGCAAGCGCTCTACCACTGAGCCACCTTCCCAGCCCCAGTTAATTCTTTTTTATTAGCACCTGTTAATTGTAGAAGGGGGTTTCATTGTGATCTCTCCATAGATGCAGTGCAGTGTATATTGAACAACTTTGCCCCTTCTATGATACTCCCTCAGCCACCTTCCAACCTCTGTGTATTTTTCAAATACTGTTTAGTGAGTTTCATTATTCTATCTATCTATCTATCTATCGATCGATCGATCGATTGATCGATCTACATAAACGATCGATCGATCTACATAATGTACTTTGATCCTATTCACCCCCAGTATCCTCTCCTTTGTGCTGTTCCCTCCAACCAATCCCCTTTTACACTCATGTCTCATTATCCTCCTGCTCCTTCTCCTCATCATTTTAGGCCTAGACTTTCTATATATTAATAAAAACATGTAATATTTAGGTATTTGATCTTGACTTGTGGGGGCTGCACACATATAAGTATCAGTTCTGGGGCTTAAACTTAGGGCCTGTGGTGTGGTCCCTGAGCTTTTTTGCTCAAGGCTACTACTTTAGTTACAGCCCCACTTTTGGCATTTTAGTGGTTAATCCTCAGATCTCACCCTACTGAGTAGCTAGGATTATAGACATGAGCCACTGGTGCCCAGCCAGCTTGGCTTTTAAACAATGTCACATTATTGATGTCCAATAGTTTCATGTTTTAATAACAAAGTTTGCTACTTTATTCTTGTCTCTTCCTATATATAAAAACTTCCATTTTAATTTTTCAATAACTGTATACTAAAATTCATGAATAAAAGCCTTAATTAGGATTGATTTTAATTAATTTTTAATATTTGGCCTTCCAACTAATAAGTATCGTTTGTTCCTCATTTTTCATTCAATTAAATAAAATGTTACCATTTCAGATTCCCTTACTAATTTTCAGGCTATAGTAACTGAGAACTTTTTCTATTATACTTTATAGTTCTTCGTTGCTGTTATGTGGGGAAATATTGTTTTCTTTGTATCTTTGCCTTAAATTTGACCAGTTCTAGATTCTTCAAATAATGAAAAAGTGACCTCTCTAGCTTGCTAATATTTTTCACCTCAAATTATTTTGTCTTGTAAGTTATTTAATATACCTCTACCGGTTTATTTATATACAAAATAAGGATCATACTTGTAGTAATACTAGTAAATAGATAATAGTAGTAATATTATAGTGAACATTAAATGTATTAATATATAAAAGTCTAATAATTCTATCCTTTTCTTAGTCATGAATTTATTAGGAAGACTTCAAATAAAAGTCTGTAAGTGTATTTATAGATTTCTTAGTATATAACTATTATTGTCTGGGCTTAACTATTTTTTTTTGGTTTAACTATTTTTATTACACTGCTAAACTCCACTTATTTCCATTTTATCTAGAACTTGTACATGTCAATCTATAAGTAAAGGGTAGAAAGATGTGGGACTTCTTTGGGGAGAGTGGTATAAACTTTCTATCCACTAATGGATCTCTTAGATTAAGATATCCTGTATATTGCTTAAAATTACAATTCATCACCAAGAAACAGAAACTAGCCTCATACTGGTAACTCATGGCTATAATCCTAGCTACTCAGGAGGCTGAAATTTGAGGACTGAGATGAAGAGCTAGCCTGGGTAAACGTATATACAAGAAACAGGATACCAAAATCAAATACAGTGACAATAGGGGATAAACCAAAGGGGAAAAAAAAAATGAAAGAAAAAAGAAATAACCACACAGAACATTAAGAACAACAACAAAGAAAAACCTCTTGTTTCCATATCTTGCAGTTCATTTCATTTAGCATCATCTTATATGGCCATATGTACATAGCTATTGTTTATCTGAACTGGGGAAGGGAAGGGGAACAACAAAATGGTGAGATAGAACAAAGGGCAAACCAATGCAACAGCAATACTCAAGACAATACATTGGAAGTGAACTTTACAACTTGGTGGGGGGAGGGGAATTGGGGGAGAGGAAAAGTGGGAGAAAAACAAGGGAGGGGGGTAACAATGTTCAACAAGAAATGTACTCATTACCTTATGTATATAACTATAACCCCTCAGTACTTTGACAATGATATTAAATTAAAAAAAAAGGCGGAGCTGGGCGCTGGTGGCTCACGTCTGTAATCCTAGCTACTCAGGAGGCTGAGATCTGAGGATCGTGGTTCAAAGCCAGCCCGGGCAGGAGGGACCTTGAGACTCCTATCTCCAATAAACCACCAGAAAACCGGAAGTGGCGCTGTAGCTCAAGTGGCAGAGCCCTCGCCTTGAGCTGAAGAGCTGAGGGACAGCGCCCAGGCCCAGAGTTCAGGCCCCACGACCAGACCCCCTCCCCCCCCCCAAAAAAGAAAAAAAAGCTAGCCTGGGCAGGAAAGTCCAGGAGACTCTTATCTCCAATTAACCACCAGAAAACTGGAAGTGGTACTGTGACTCAAAGTGGTAGAGCATTAGCCTTGAGTATAAAAACTTAGGGACAGCACCCAGGCCCTGAGTTTAAGCCCCAGGCCTGGCCAAAAAAAAAAGAATTACCTCAGAAGCCATGCAATGGTATCTCATGCCTGTAAACCTAGCTACTCGGAAGGCTGAGGTCTAAGGATCACAGTTCAAAGCCAGCCAAGGGAAAGAAAGTCTGTGAGACTCTAATCTCCAATTAATCACCAGAAAACCGGAAGTAGAACTGTGCCTCAAAGTAGTAGAGCACTAGCTTTAAGCAAAAAAGCTCAGGGTCAGTGCCCAGGCTCCAAGTTCGAGCCTCATGACCGACAAAAAAAAAAAAGTTATCTCTAATCCTTACATATATGTCAATATTTTAAACAGACAAAGAGTGGCCAATTTTTTGATGGTGGTATAGTTTGTTGCAGTTCTGGAGATTTAATGCAGGGCATCATATTCTAGGCAAGTTCTCTACTATGACCTATTTTGCTGTCCCAGGAACAAGTAATTCTAAAGTTATAATTATTTCCCCAAACATAAAAAAGATTGAAATTCTCCCAGTCAATCTTTTGAAGCAACCACAACTTTGATACCAAAATGTGGCAGAAAGAAAAACAATAATTTAGGAGTAATGGAAGCAAATGAAGGAGTAGGCAGCTCAGACTCGTTTCTCCATAGAAATACTTTCTAAAAAATAAAGACTGGCTAAAATAAATTTATAGAAGCTCTGGTGAACAGTCCAAAGTCTACGGTAACCAAGCTAGTGCTAATGCTCTTTGAAATGAAAGAGCTACATTCAAAACAGAAGGAAATTAGGGCATTTGAACTTACCATCTCCCCAACCCCTGGTCTGATATGACATGGCACAGTTCAGAGGAAGTAGCAGCCAGTTCTCAATTCCTTTCCTAAAACCAGAGAGAACAAAGCACACTTCATTTATAACATTCTAACCTGTCTGGAGATTGCTTGAAGGACTGGTCTCTATTTCACCTAATAGCTCAACTAAAGAAAAGAGCATAATCCAAATCTCAGCTTGAGAAAAGCCACAAAAAGTGTCAAGCACTTCTTTTAAAAGCTTGAGGGAGGGCTGGGAAGGTGGCTCAGTGGTAGAGCGCTTGCCTTGCATGCCTGAGGCCCTGGGTTCAATTCCTCAGCACCACATAAGCAAAAAGAAAAAAGTCGGAAGTGGCGCTGTGGCTCAAGTGGTAGAGCACTAGCCTTGAGCTGAAGAGCTGAGGGACAGCGCCCAGGCCAGAGTTCAGGCCCCACGACCGGACCCAAAAAAAAAAAAAGCTTGAGGGACTAAAGACCCACATATCCCAGAGCAATAAAGTATACATGGAGAAATACAATAGAACAAATACATCTCTGAGGAGAAGCTGGGGTGAGATTTTTGGAAACTAAGATTTTTGGTTTTTTGGTTTTTTGCTTACTTTTTGTTTTTATTTTATTTAAGTTCCCCCCTCCTCTCCTCTCCCTATTTCCCCTCCCCTTCCCATTCCTTCCTCTCCCCTCATTTCACTCCCTCCTTCCTATCTCCTTCTATCTCTCTACTCTCTCATCCCTTCCTGTCCCCCTCTTCTCTCTCCACCTTCCCTCCTCTTCCCTCTCCCCTCTCCTCCCCCTTTCCCTCTCTCTTCTCTCCCCTCCCCACCCCTCCTTTCCCATCTGGAAACTAAGATATTTGAAAGCAGCCAAGTAGATGTGGAAATTGAAAAGAACATGAGTGAAGACCCAGATAAAACACACAGAAAAGAGATGATAAGGCTTTAAGCTTTCACCTCAGGCTAATGCCCAAGGCTCAGAATACACATTTCTAATTGGCATAATAAAGGTTTTCCCAGACATAAAGCTAGTCTACAAAGACAACCATAGTAGCTATTTTTCCAAATAGACAATATTCAATAAACACAAGGCATAGAAACTGGAGACCTGATCAATTCAAAGGAAGAAAATGAAGTATAGCTAGTCTTGGTGGCATATGCCTCTAATCACGTTAGAGCTAATAAATGACTTTAGCAATGTAGGCACAAAATTGACAAGCAAAATGCAATTCATATCTGTATCCCAACAGTGTACAAGCTCAAAAATAAATTAGGAAAACAACCCATATATAATACTTTCAAAAGAAATGAAATACTGGGGAATAAGCTGAATTAAAGAGGTGAAAGGTCAAGCACTGGTGGCTCATGCCTGTAATCCAATTCAGGAGGCTGAGATCTGAGGACCACAGTTCGAAGCCAGCCCAAGCAGTAAAATTCAAGAGACTTGTTTGTCCAATTAACCACCAAAAAGCCAGAAGCAGAGATGTGGCTCAAATGGTAGAACACCAGCCTTGAACAGAAAACTAAGGGAGAGCACCAAGGCCCTGAGTTCAAGACCCTATAGTGACATTAAAAAAATAAAAAGGGGGCTGGGAAGATGGCTCAGTGGTAGAGCGCTTGCCTTGCATCCATGAGGCCCTGGGTTCAATTCCTCAGCACCACATAAGCAGAAAATAAATAAACAAACTAAGTTCACCAAAAAAAAAAATAAAATAAAAAAATAAAAAGGAAGTAGAAGACAAACACTGAAAACTAAAAAATGCTGAAAATAAATATAAATAAATATAAAGGTGCCCCATGCTCATGGACTAGAACAATTAATATTGTTTAGATAGCCATACTCTCTAAAACAATATAGTGCAGTGCAATTCCTATCAAAATGACCATAACAGTTCCCATAAATAGAAAAAAGTATTCAAAACTGGTAAGAATCTCAAATAACCAAAATAATTTTGAATTTGGACATCTTATATTTCTGATTTCAAACTTATTATAAAGCCAAATTAATGAAAACTGTGGAATATGGTAGAAAGCCCAGAAATAAACTCTTGCCTTTTTAAAAATGATTTCAGTATTCTTGGGATTCTAAGTATTCTTGGGATTCTAAGAATATATTTCAGCAAGTAAGTGTTGAGAAAACTGGATAATCACACATAAGTAATAATAACAACAGCAGCAACAACAAAAACAGCCCTGTAACTTTGAAAATACTTTAAACCCTTTAGACTAATCAGTCACTGTACAAAATTGGGAAAGCTGAGTTTCAAGGCTGAAGAAAATAGCAGCCCAAATGATAGAACAGATGCATTAAAGCACAGTGGTCCACAGGACCCATGACAAGTATGGCAAGATTGTCTAGGCATCAGTGACATTACTTTCTATGGTCCTGACACTGCTTTAAACACTAGGCAGGTAAATAACTGTCAATAAACCATTGGGAATTTATGCTTACCGCTGAGTGTCAGAGATACAGTGGGGAAGAGGAATCCCTTAGGCCCTCTTGAAGGGGCCTAATGCCCCCATCTGGCCTGATGTTTAAGGGAACAGGCCATGGTGTTAACAACCAGGCTCATCACTACTCAATTGCCCACTTCTCTCCAGCTAAAATCTGCTTTATTTTCCTTCCTGCAGCCTGTCTCCTTGGTTAGTATTCTGGTCTCTATAATCAACTTAGGTGTCTAATTACACAGCTATAACTTAATTGGCCCTAGCTGCTGGTTGCTATGGTGATGCAGCCAGGGGCTCTGCTTACTAAGAGGGAACCTGATGTAGGAGGGGACAACATGGGGAGAGGGATGAGGTTAAAATGAAAATACTTTAATAATTCCCCTTGGTGATTGAAATTCCATTTCAAATTCCTGTTACTCTGTCTCTGTGAAATCAGTCTTAATTATAATAACATTCTTTCACTGGAGACTATTCTAAGGTTTCACATACTCAGTACGCATGGTGTTCTCACAGAAAAGCTTTGGAAAAGACATTCAGAGGGATGATGAACGTGATCCTTATTCTTTACAATATATTTTATTAACTATAACCACCATGACTTGCAATAGGTCTTCTGAATTTATCCTTCCTATCTTACTGAAACAACCATGAAAATGTAACAAATATACACAATGGACTACTTTTCAACCATAAGGGAAGGAAATTCTGTCATTTGTGACATGAATGAATCTATCTCTTTTTCTGTCCCAGGATTTCAGTGAAGATGTCCATTATATTTACTTATGACATTTCCTTAAACTTCAACAGTTTCTTAGATATTCCTTGTTTATGATGATCTTAAGAGTTTAGAAAATTCCTTGCCATGTGTTTTGTAGATTGCCTCTCAAGTCAGTGTGTGTGTGTTGGTCTTGGGCTTGAACTCAGGGCCTGGGCATGGTCTCTGAGCTTCCTGTCCTCAAGGCTAGCACTCCATCGCTTGAGCCATGGCTCTACTTTTGGCTTTTTAAAACAGTTTATTGGAGGAAAGAGTCTCACGAATGTTCCTGTCCAGACTGGCTTTGAACCTTGATCCTCAAAGCTCAACCTCCTAAGTAGGTAGGACTGCAGGTGTGAGCCACCAGTGCCCAGTTCCTCAACTAATTTTTTTCTTGAGTATTATTAAGATTATGGATTTGGGATGAAAAGCTACAGAGGTAAAGTGCCATTCTCACTATGTATGACACTATCAATATGATTTAGTGTGTGTTTTGGGGTGGGGTAGCGTGGGTACTAGGGTTTTAATTCAAAGCCTTGTACTTGCTAGGCTGGTGCTCTACCACTTGCGCCATGTTCCCAACCCTTTTTACTGTAGTTATTTTTCTGACTAGGTCTTCTCTTTTTTTCTTTTGCACCAGCCCAGAGGCTTCAATTCAACGCCTGGGTGATGTCCCTGAACTTTTTTGCTCCAGACTAGAACTCTACTACTTGAGCAACACAGATCTACTTCTGTATTTTGGGGGTAGCTAATTGAAAATAAGAGTCGTTTCCCTTATTTGCAATTACTAGTATACATCCAAGACAAGCAGAAACGGTCAGATAAGTTGATGTTAGGCAAAATGAACCCCAAGATAAGGAATCAAATGATTTTTCTTTCTTGCAATTGTTTCTAACATATTTATAAGATGATTTCTTTGTATGTCCCTCCCCCACGGTATAACCCGTTTTCACTGTATTTGATGTTGGCATAATTTATGGAGGGGAAGGGGAAAAAAAAAGTCTCACAGATGGACTTTTCTCCTGGGCTGGCTCTGAAGTATGATCACCAGCTCTCAGGTAGGATTACAGGCATGAGCCATGGGCACTTGGCTAAGATCTTCCATTTCTGCCTGTATCTGGCCTTGAACTTTGATCTACCTAACATCTTTCATGTAAAAGGATTACAGGAGAACTCTACCCATATCCACTTTATTAAGTGAAATGTTTTGTTAACATTTCGCCCAGGGTGGCTTTGAACCTCCAACCTTCAGATCTCTGCTACCTGAGTAGCTGAGATTGTTCTCTACCACATCCAGCCACATTTATTCATTCCTGATGTTGACCTTGACCAACTGGCTAAGGTAGTGTCTGCTAGCTTCTCCAATATAAAGTAATTCTTTTCCCCTTTTTAACCTATACTCTTTACGAAGAAGTCATTATGTATAGTTCACATTTAAGGAGTTAGGCTTTTCTATTTAATGACTGGCATCTTCATAAATAATTCAGAATAATTCTGCATGGAAGATTTCTCTTTAATTTATATTTTAATTCAATAATTATGGATCCATAATCCGTATGGATCCATAAACACTTATTTTATAATTTAGGCTATCACTCAATACTTACTTTTTGTCTTAAAATTTTTCCAGCTTTGGCCATTAGGAATCCTATCCCAGTAGTTGAGTCAATCGTTCTTCAAGGAGCTCTTATTCCTTTAAGTAGAGAATGATAGTAGAAAGTAAGATCTGGAGTTGGGAATGTGGGTTAGGGGTAGAGTGCTTGCCTAGCATGCATGAAACCCTGGGTTCAATTCCTCAGTACCACATAAACAGAAAAAGCGAGAAGTGGCATTGTGGTTCAAGTTGTAGAGTGCTAGCCTTGAGCAAAAGAAGCTTGGGGACAGTGCCCAGGCCTGATTTCAAGCCCCAAGACTGGCAAAAAAGGGAGAGAGAGAGAGAGAGAGAGAGAGAGAGAGAGAGAGAGAGAGAGAATAAGATCTGATGGCTAGAGGTACTAATTACCACTGGGACACTGTTACTTCTAGACAAGCTCTTGGCTAATGAAACAAGGAAATATCTGTATATTAACTCCTCTATATAAGAACATATGTAAATACTGCCATATATTGGCATCTATAGCTATGTTAAGCTAAACATCAATTGATACAGATTCTTCTTGTGTGTGCTAGTATTGGGATTGAATTCAGGGTCTAGGCACTGTCCCTAACATTTTTTGCTCAAGGCTGCCACTCTAGCAACAGTTCCACTTCTGGCTTTTTGGTGGTTAATTAGAAATAAGTATGTGCCTGGGCTGGCCTCAAACCACAATCCTCAGATCTCAGTCTCCTGAATAGGATTACAGGAGCAGGCCACCAGTGGGTAATTGACATTTTCTTTATTATTGTTATTTAAATCTAGGCATTAGAATGCAGGGGACATTTCCCACTAGCAAATAACCATTTAAAATGCATTTAAGGGATTTCAGGATCTGACTACACCTTTTCAGAATCTCAGGCTCTTAAGCCCACACTGTGTTAATGTGGCAGAAACAGACAGGAATAAAACACCAGCCAGCAGCTTTTTGTGCAGCATGCTGACTGACTCTTTTTCTTCTCCAGTTCTGGGGCTTGACTTAGAGCCTGGGCACTGTCCCTGTGTTTTTTTGCTCAAGGCTAGTTAGTGCTTTATCACAGTTGCTTCTTCCTTGTTTTTTTTTGTTTTTTGTTTGGGGGGGGGTGGTGGTGGTGGTGGTTAATTGAAGGTTAAGAGTGTCACTTTCCTACCTGGGCTACCTTCAAACTGCAATCCTCATATCTCAGCCTTCTGAGCAGCTAGGATTATAGGTACCTGGCTAATATTGAGTCTATAATAGACCAGCATAGGGATTGCTTCTTCCTTCCTCTGCTTATCTGTAGTTTCCAAATAAGAAACCCGATTCCCACCAGCTGACATCTACTATTCAATTGTTCCTTCCCATCCATGTGCTAACATCTGTATCAATAAGAATGCAGAATTTGTGTACAGTTTCTTTTGTCTTTAGTCCCTGATTCTGTTTTTTCATCCTTTTATAGTGTGAGGCTAATTCAGAAATTTTAATACATTGAAATTGTCTGGTTACCTTCTGTATGTCATAATGGGAATCACCCAACTTCCTAAGTGATTTTCAAATTTTACCTGTATAAACATGTACTCCTTGGTATAAAGTTCTAGGGATTTTGACAAATATATAATATCATATACCCACTATTACAATGTAATACAGAACAGTTTCACTAACCTAAAAACTCCTCCGTACTTCACCTTCAGCCATTTATCTGTTGAATTTTATTGTACAGAGCTCAAGCTATGCCTCTAACTCTAGTGTGGCATTTTTTACTGAGGTGTTCCAGCAAGTCTGTTTCTAGTAGCTTCTGCTTTAGGTAAGCAGTATATTTGTGGCTCTGGATTCACCTATTTCCCTCCTCTTTGGAGGTTGTGGTTTGTCCTGTGACATTGATTCTCTGATGAGTCTAAGGAAATTTCATTTTCATTTATTCTGATTTCTCTTGAACCAATAGGAATGATGAATTCCAAACTCACTACATATTAAAAACTGAAACCTAAAACGCTGATTGTTTTCTATGTAATCATATAAAAACAGTAGTTCTCTTTTTTGTTTTTCTTTCTGCCTGGTGCAGGGTTTGAACTCACTGCTTTTTGCTCTCACTCAGGTTTGCTCATGGCTGATGCTTTATCACTTGAGCCATCTCTCCAGCCTAGTTGTGTGTTGGTTAATTGAAGATGAAGTCTCACAGAATTTTCTGTAAATAGAAATAAAACAATGATTGGATATCAATTTTCATTTACTTTGGAAACAGTTGAAATGATTAAGGTTTTACAGACAAAGGTGTCATTAACATGCTTGAGGGAATACAAATTGGCATTACTCTTTCTTAGGGAAATTTAGCAGCATCTATGGAATGCATAATCAAAAATACCATACTCTGACCCAGCATTTTCTCAAGGAAGAAGAATTACTAAAGAAATCGTTTATCCGGGTGTCAGTGGCTCATGCCTATAATCCTAGCTACTCAGGAGGCTGAGATCTGAGGATCATGGTTCAAAGCCAGGCTGAGCAGGAAAGTCCGTGAGACTCTTATCCCAATAAGCTAATCATAAAAAGCTAGAAGTGACGCTGTGGCTCAAGGACAGATCCTAGGCCCTGAATTCAAGTCCCAGGACTGGCACAAAAAAAAAAAAAATTATTTAGCCAAACGTACTAAAGTGAATATACAAAGGTATTTGTTATAGCATTGCCAAAATTATATGTATGACAGGATACTGGTGAAATAATCATGGTAGCTACATATTCTGAAATACTAGTCATTAAGCATGATGGTAAGGGTGTCTATTTCTATAAGGGTGTCTATTTCTACTCATGTCTTACCAGAGGTAATCGTTACTTAGTCTAACACAATCACAGCAATCTTATTCTTTTTCATGGTGATAGATTTGGATTACTCGTTTCTATTTGGGGAAAACTTTTTTCAAATTAATTTCATCATAAGGATTCTCTAAACCTGTTTTGTACACTCACTTCAAATGGGTTTTATTATATTTTTATAGATGTAAATATAATGTACTTGATCATATTCACACCCCAGAAACCTTTTTTATCACCCCTTCCTCTTCACAAATAGTCTTCTACTTTCCTGTGCATTAAAAAAAAAAATCCAACTTTCACATATGAAATCTGCACATTTCCAAGTCTGGCTTACTTTGTTTAATATGATGGAGCTCCAATTTCTTCCATTTTCCTGCAAATGACAATTTTATTTTGACTAAAATTCCATTTTGTACATGTACATTTTCTTTACGTATTTGTCTGTTGATGGGCATTAGGTTGTTTCTATAACTTGGCTATAGTGAACAATGCTGTGATGAACATAAATATACAGGTGTCTCTACTGTAAGCTGATTTCAGGAATATAACCAGGAGTAGCACTGTAGGCTCTCCTCTTCTGAGGCACCTTCATACTGATTTCCTTCGGAACTGGTCTAATTTATTATTTTACCAACAATGCATGGAAGGATTTCTTGCCATTAAAAATGAACATAGTCTCTCTCCGCCATCTTGGAGCCTGTGGAGGCCTGCTGGGAACAGGACTTCTAAAAGGCAAAATGTCTGGAAGGCTATGGTGCAAGGCCATTTCTGCTGGCTATAAGCGGGGTTTCCAGAACCAAAGGGAACACACGGCTCTCCTTAAAATTGAAGGCGTTTATGCCCGAGGTGATGCTGATTTCTACTTGGGCAAGAGATGTGCTTATGTATACCAAGCAAAAAACAACACAGTGACTCCTGGCGGCAAAGCTAACAAAGCCAGAGTAATCTGGGAAAGGTAATGCGTGCCCATGGAAACAGTGGCATGGTTGGTGTCAAATTCTGAAGCATCCTTCCTGCTAGAGCCATTGGACACAGAATCCGTGTGATGCTGTACCCCTCCAGAATTTAAACTAATGAAAATTAAATAAAGTAAATCTGTGCTCTTGTAAGAAAAAAAAAAATGAACATAGGGCTGGGCGCTGTTGACTCACGCTTGTAATCCTAGTTACTCAGGAGGCTGAGATCTGAGGATCATGATGCAAAGCCAGCCTAGGTAGGAAAATCTGTGAGATTCTTATCTCTATTGAACTATGAAGAAAAAACCAAGTTGAGCTGTGGCTCAAGTGGTAGAACACTAGTTCTGAATAAAATAAGTTCAAGGATAGTGTTCAAGCCCTGAGATCAGACTGGCACACACACACACACACACACACACACACACACACACACACACACACACACACACACACACACACACACACACACACACATACACATACACAAAGAACACAGGGCTGGGTGCTAGTGGCACTTGTAATCCTAGCTACTCAAGAGGCTTAGATCTGAGGATCAGGGTTTAAAGACAGCCCAGGCAGGAAACTCCATGAAACTCTTATCTCCAACTAATTACCCATAAGTCAGAAGTAGAGCTGTGGCTCAAGCTGTGGCCTTGAAAAAAAAAAATGGGGCTGGGAAGGTGGCTCAGTGGTAGAGTGCTTGCCTTGCATGCCTGAGGCCCTGGGTTCAATTCCTCAGCACCACATAAGCAAAAAGAAAAAAGCCAGAAGTGGCGCTGTGGCTCAAGTGGTAGGGCGCTAGCCTTGAGCTGAAGAGCTGAGGGACAGCGCCCAGGCCCAGAGTTCAGGCCCCATGACCGGCCCTCCTCCCCCATAAAAAAAAGAAGGAAGGAAGGAAGGAAGGAAGGAAGGAAGGAAGGAAGGAAGGAAGGAAGGAAGGAAGGAAGGAAGGAAGGACGGACGGACGGACTCAGGGACACCACCCAGGGGCTAAGTTCAAGCTCCAGGATGGGTACACACACATACACATACACACACACACACCAACCAAACAAACAAGAGCATGGTGTGTTTGGGGGGGAACAGATAAAATAGTAAAGTACTTGAGTGCAAGTCTCTGAGTTCAATCCCCAGTATAAATAAACAATAATAAATACATAAATAAAACATAGGAAGAGTCTTACCTATCTTTTTCTCTTATGCACTGTTATATGATGACTTATATGACACTTGAATTGTTACAATTTTGTGACCCTCAAAGAGAGCTAGACAATGTCAAAAGCTAATGTATTTTTGGCTGTGCTCTTGGAGCCTGATTCAGCCAACCCTGGAGCTTCCTTCCCTATCTAGTAATTCTTGATATACAAGCAAAATAAAATATCTTTGTTCTTTAAAGCATTTTAATTTGAGATTTTTCTGTTACTTTCAGCAGAAAGAATTGTAACTGATGCACTTTGTAAGAGCCTTCATTATATATTAACCTAGTTAATAAGAAGTTAAACAAGGTAGTGCATACCGGTAATCCCAGAACTTGGGAGACTAAGGCCAGCCTGTCTTAAAATGAACAAATGAATCAACTGACCACCCCTTCCCTCATTAAAATCCAATATAACAAGTATCTAGAAAATACAATTTTCAGAAGAATATATATATATAATACATATATACTTATACATACATGTACGGATGCCTACGTGCACACATACATATGTGTGTGTATAAACATTCACTACTAGAAACTACAAAACAGTACCATAAAGCAAAACAAATATCAACATGATATATAAATTCTACTTGGATACTATTTTAAATATCTATGAAAGCTCTGTGCTAGCCAGACAGAAAAAAAATGGAAATATTAAAGAATTCCATTTACTAAAACAATGTGATAAAGGTAGATTAGATAAGGTTGTAAAGAACGGCACTAAAATATATTAGAGCTAGACAGGAAGATACTAAATTTTTTTAAGAAGCAAGGAAATCTAAACAAGAAAACAACAATATTAGCAATACTCATAAGAAATGTAAACATGCATGAAAAAATTAAAGTAAATAATGGCTTTTTGATCTCAAGAGAAACTAATCTTTTCTACATAGAGTCTCTTGTGTTTTGGACTAAAGAACAATAGCTGAAGGCAAGCGATGGTGGCTCACGCCTGTAATCCTAGCTACTCAGGAGGCTGACATCTGAGGATTGCAGTTCAAAGCCAGCCCGGGCAGGAAAGTCCATGAGAATCTTATACCCAATTAACCACCAGAAAACCAGAAGTGGTGCTGTGGCTCAAAGTGGTAGAGCTCTCCCCTTGAGCTGCAGAGCTCAGGGACAGCACCCAGGTCGAGTTCAAGCCCCATGACTAACAAAAAAAAAAAAAAAAAAAGATAGCTGGGAATGTTGGTGAAGGCCTGTAATTCTACCACTTAGGTTAGGTAGGAAGATCTCAACATTTGAGGCCAATCAGGGCTGCAAAGTGAGAACCTGTCTCAAAAAAAACACATGACCAGTCGGGTGCGGATGGCTCAGCCTGTAATCCTAGCTACTCAGGCTGAGATCTGAGGATCATGGTTCAAAGCCAGCCCGAGCAGGAAAGTCCATGAGACTCTTATCTCCAATAAACCACTAGAAACTTTGCCGCCCCCGTGGCTCACGCCTGTAATCCTAGCTACTCAGGAGGCTGAGATCTGAGAATCGCAGTTCAAAGCCAGCCCGGGCATGAAAGACCATGAGACTCCTCTATCTCCAATAAACCACTAGAAAACCGGAAGTGGCGCTGTAGCTCAAGTGGTAGAGCGCTCGCCTTGAGCTGAAGAGCTGAGGGACAGCGCCCAAGCCCAGAGTTCAAGCCCCATGACCAACAACAACAACAAAAAAAGAAACCTGGAAGTGGCGCTCTGGCTCAAGTGGTAGAGAGATCATCTTGAACTGAAGAGTGCAGGGATGGTGCCCAAGACCAGAGTTCAAGCCCCACAACCAACAAAAATAAAATAAAATCATATACATACATACATACATACATATATATATATATATATATATATATATATATATATATATATACACACACACACATATATATGGAAGGAAAAAACTGGGGGAAAGCAAAGGAAGGGGTAACAACATCCAAAAGAGAAATGTATACACTACCTGGATTATGAAATGGCAACCCCTTTGCACAACACCTTAATAAAGACAGTAAAATTGCATTTTTTTAAAAATGTAGAAAAAAAGTTGTGGGAGAAAAATCAAATAATGAACCCAGCTAACATCAATTTCAAAACTATTTAATAAGCTGGGTGCTGGTAGCTCATGCCTGTATCCTAGTTTCTCGGGAGGCTGAGATCATAGAATTGTCGTTAGAAGCCAGCCTGGACAAGAAATACCATGAGACTCGCCTCTCCAATTAACTACCAAAAACCTAGAAGT